ACCAACAAAAGCAAACTTGCTAAAAATAACAGTAAAAAACTCAGGATGTTTACTCTTTATGATGTGAAAATACTTACTCTCTTCTTGCATTCGGGCTAAAATTTGCACATCAGTTAAGTCATTTAGTTTGTAATTAGATCCTATTGAGTCTTCATCCATTTCTGAAGCACTTAATTCACTGTCTATAGAGGATTGTGGGCTGAGTGGAGGATTTCGATCAGAACTTTTGAAATGACCTATAAGAAAAGAAAAACAAATTAAAATCTAAAGACATTCCTATCATCCCTATAAATCAGCATGATTTTTAGAAAGGAAAAACTTCCAAGAACTCAAATATGTTGAGAAATAAACTCATTTCTCTTCAAGTTAGGTTCCGATCAATCTACCAGGTGCTGGGCTTGAAACGCATAAAGTGCTCTAAAGGAAAAAAATTTGATCTTTTGCTATTAAGGAAAAATAATTCTGGCATTCAAAATTGTACTTCCGCTACAAAAGATGAATTTATAAATGTCAAATAGAATAAATATAATAATAACTTTAACACATTTTGTAAGTATAGTAGTGTACCTTGACCAGGATCTGGGGATACTCTGGTCTGTAGGAAGTTGACTAGATAATGGAAGGGAGGGAAGGAGGGAGGGGAAGGAAGGAAATGTACAGACAAAGCAATATAAGGATTACAGCTCAAAATTAGACATCATTAATAAATTGCTAATATAGTGTTTTATCTGCATAAGCTATATAAGCAGAAATAGATTCAAAAGTCTGAAATAAAAGGAAATATTAAGAGCTAATAAGTTTTTCTTGGTGTCTATCATTTGCGCCTTAGATCTGAGGCTCTTACCTGAGTTGTTAGGATATATGAGCTGTTTTACTAAAGGAGCTTTCGCCGGTGTAGGGGAAGAAAAACCGAAGCTAGTGCTGTAGGGACTGCCAGCACTGTGGCTTTGGGAATTTGTGTAATTGACAGTGTTGAATGGATTACTATATAGGCTGTGTCTCTTGAGAGCTGTATGGAAAAACAGAAAAGAAAATTCATACACTGTTTCACAGAACTTAAAATTGCATTTCTGATTTTAATTCCATATGGTATGTTATGAGGTACAGACCGTGGGAACAAAGTAGAATAAGGTTTTTTTAAAATAAAATGCATCTCTTCACCTTGTTAATAGCACAAACTCTACAGTACAATCCCATCAATTTTTAATTTTTAAATTTAATTTGGCAAACACTAATATTACATTTTGATAATGTAACAGTCCAGGAAATGGTCGTCTGATCATTTATTTCAATTATTTAATGTGCCTGATAAATGTTTTGAAAATCTTTATTAAAATTATTATTTTACATGCCATTTCCCAGATACCAATTCATTTAAAATAAAATGACACTGTTCAAAACAGCTGCCATGCTGGTATACTTATTAGACAATAACTACAGCATAGCTGGACACTTGTTCCCCATTAATTTTTAATATAAGAAAGCATATAATAATCTTCCCATTAACGTAAATTGGATTTAAAACAGACTAACTTTCACTGGAACATAACTATTTTTTTAAAAAAAATGTATATTAAAATACTACCTGTTTAAAACAAGTTAGCATTAAAAAAAAAATCCAGAAGCTCACCTGACATGGTCTGTTCAAGCCTATGGATCAATGACTTTTTAGCACATTCAATGTCTGGAGTTGGATAATCCAATATTTGCCTGCACCAAACAAGGGGGCTCATCGATTTTTGCACAGGGGTCACTTTCTTCTTTGGTGACATATACAACCTGGTGGAAATTAAAACACATAAACATTACATAGGGATACACAGAACTTCAATATAGTGTTCTTTTTAACAACAACAAAAAAAAAAACACAAGACGACACGGTTTTCAACACAGTGCATCTTTTTCTCAGCATGCTGCAAATTAAGAGACTGCCTTTCCTTGATTGAATGTGCCCACCTAACCCAGATGTTGCCTACATGGGGTCCCCAGATACCAGGGGGAAGAGACCTGAAGGCAGGCGCTTTCTGCAGGGCTCCCCTCTGGGCAGGGGAAGGGTTCAAATTTTTAACAACCGGTTCTGTGGGCGTGGCTTAGGTGGTGGGAGTGGCTTGGTGGTCATGTGACTGGGTGGACATGGCTTGGTAGTCATGTTATTGGCTGGGTGTGGCCAACTCAAGATCACTCACATTGAGCCACACATGTCCTCGCCTGGCCTCTCATGACTGTGGGGATGCTGCAACAGTCGTAAGTGTGAAAAATGGTCATAAGTCACTTTTTTCAGTGCCATTGTAACTTTGAATGGTCACTCCACACAAGCAAAGTTCCAGCAAAGGAGGGGAAAAAAATGCCAGAGATGTTCCTGAGATAGGAAGTCTAGTCCTGCCAAGAATGTAATAAGGGTCAACGGAGAGGCAGTTTCTGTAAGCAACACCAGAATGTTTCCTTCCTGCCTTCCTTACAGGATTAGGCCAGTAATTTCTTCTAACAACCGGTTCTCCTAACTTCTTAGAATGTTAACCAGTTCTAGCGAATAGGTGCAAACTGGTAGAATCCCACCCCTGCCTCTGGGACACATTATCTTTGGAAGCAATAAGAGCCCCTCTTCTTACACTGTAATCTTCTGGAGAGCTATAAATATCCAGCTTTTGCGGAATTGATTCTGGAACCGTCACATAACTTTTAGTTTCATTATCATACTACAAAGTTTCTATTTTACATTGCTTAATTATTGTTGGTTGTATAATGCACATAGTAACCATCTAGAGCAGTGGTGGCTAACCTTTTTGGGCTCCTGTGTTGGAAATTGCGGGCATGCAAGCACTTGCGTGCTGCACACCAGCATCCAGAAGGCAATGTGCGTGGGGGGGGCCACGCCCCCTGCGCATGCGATGCCCCCACACATCTCTGTGCATGCACGTAAGGCCCCCGTGTGCACTGCGCATCTCTGCGCATGCATGCACAGCTCCTGTGCATCCCAGCCTCCCATGCATGCACACCAAATACCCGACAATCAGCTGTCGGGTGTGCGGCACGCACGCATGTGCAGTAAACCTGCTCTGAGCGAGGGCTCGCATGCCAGCAGTAATGGCTCTGCATGCCACTTCCGGCACGCGTGCTGTAAGTTCGCCATCACCGATCTAGAGACCAGTTACTGAGGGAGATTGATTGATGGGCAGACTGCCTGCCCTCCAGGAAAAAAAAACAGATGAATGTTAATTTCAGTATGCAAAAATCAGAATTTATTAATTCAATAGAAAGCATGGGAACTGTCAAAACAGTTCATACAACAAAACAGCCTGTTAAGAGATCCACCCAGCCTTTTTCTGTGCGTAAGTAAACACTCAGAAATGATATGGAATACTGTTTAGGAAATTGAGGTGGGATGGTAGGAAACTTTACTAAGAAGGAGCTCTTGTCCATTGTGGGAGGCAGCCAGGAATCTTCCAACATGCAGGGAAGTTTTGCTTTGTTAAGGAGGCATGGGAGCCAAAAGATGATGGGATGACAAAATTAAAGTCTAACAGTGTAAGTTTAAAATCAAGCTCACACAATATACTGAAAACCCAAATAATTTGACTTGAATTCAAAACTGCTTGTAAAATAAACTACAGGATAAAATATTACATGAAGTATTTTAATACTTTAAACATTTTAGGCTTGAACTAAAGCTTCAATTTAGTGTTTTCAGCAGTGGTGGGATTCAAATTTTTCTACTACCAGTTCTGTGGGTGTGGCTTGGTGGGCGTGGCAGGGGAAGGATACTGTAAACCAGGGGTGGGCAACTATGGCCCTTTTATGAATTATGGACTTCAACTCCCAGAATTCCTGAGCAAGCCATGCTAGCTCAGGAATTTTGGGAGTTGAAGTCCACAAGTCATAAAGGGGCCATAGTTGCCCACCTCTGCTGTAAACTCTCCAGTCAGAGGCGGTATTTGCCAGTTATCCAGACTACTCAAAATTTCCGTTACCGGTTCTCCAGAACTGGTCAGGACTTGCTGAATACCACCTGTGTTTTCAGATAGTTTATGAAACATATTCACCATCCAAAGAATGGACAGGTACTTAACAAACAGACTCGTTTAGTTTTTAAAATATCTTTAAAGTCTCGGTTAATATCTTTATAAAATATGTAAAAAATATCTTTAAAGTCTCCGTCGTCAACTGAACCTTGTGTTAGAAAAATAAAAGGCACAATATCAGTCATCCTATTCCAAAGAATCTACCACCAAGGTAACACTTATACATTTCAATAAGAAAAAAAAAACCTAACATGGGACAAAGAGTTACAAGAACTGTATACATTGTTCATTGAAAGTGTAGGCATAAACAATTTATACAGAACTGCTATTCTGTATTCTGCATTATATTTGAAACTTTTTGTCATTCCTTCTAGAATTGTAACTAGTTATGAATGAAATATCAATTCCTCATATTTAACACCTATATGCACACTTTATGGGGACGTGATGGCTCAGTGGTTAAGAATCTGAGTTCGAGACTTGAGAGCCACACGATGGAGGTGAGCACCCATTTTTGCCCACTTAGCAGTTCGAAAGCATGTAAATGCGAGTAGATAAATAGGTACCACTTTGGTGGGAAGGTAATGGCGTTCTGTGTTTTGCCGCATGCTCTGCATTGCAGCATGATGTCGTGAGGACTGTGGAGACATCTTTGGACAATGCTAACTAGGAAACAGAGATGAGCACCACCACTTAGAATCAGAAGTGACTGGACAGGGGAAACCTATACTTTTATGAATACTTTAAATCACGGCTGTCAAACTCCCGGCCCGCGGGCCAGATGCGTCATGTGCTGGCCACATCCAAGCCCGGTTTAGCAAAGGGGAAAAAATACGTCACGTGACGCTGACGTGATGCCGTGAGTTTGACACCCCTGCTTTAAATGAACACAGTATATATCAATATTTAAACATTTTAAAGTGATAAATAACCTTGCTTCTTGTTTGTTAATTTATCTGATCTAGGTTGGATTGACAACAATGCTAGTCACAGGAGGAAATAAAACTAATACGGATTTTTTTGTGTGCGTCCATTTCTTCAGAATCATTTCCAGCATCATGGCTACATTCCTCAGATTTTTGGATGGGTTACAGACAACAAACTAACTTTAAAATATCATATATTGTAATGTGGTGATACTTTGTATGACCAACTTGCACCAGCTGTAACAACAACCAAACTGGTCTATACTCTGTAAGACCAATCCACATGTCTTGCATTTATTTATATCTCAAGCAATGTCAATTGTCATCTAAGTTTCTAAATGCTTACTCATGGTAGACCAGTAACAGTAACAAATATTTCATGCACCAACACTGGATCATCCTTTGAGTAGCACCGCTATAGCTAATGCCAGTTGTGGGCTAGACTATGAAAACAATAAAACAGCACGTCACATCCATGTTACTGCCAAAATATCTTCACTGATTTAAGCATGAATTCATGAAATGTCTTTGATTAAGGAAATAATGCATTTGGAAAATAGTTTGTCAATTTTTTTCCATTATCAAAACACAGCTCAATAGCAAACAGGCTATGGAGAGAAAATAACACTTTTTATAAAGTTTTGCTGTACTTTAGAGAAGAGAATGAATACAGAATAGTGAAATGAATTAAACATAGTGGAAAAGAGTTAAACTAACCAATCAGCAGCTAATGACCTCGGAAATCTTTCTACTCGGAAATTTTATTCTGCTTATTTGAGAATTAATACTGAGTTAAGTACATACATGATTGTACCATCAAAGACAAATAAATTTAAAACGAGTTTATCTGTGTTCAGTTCACAATTATAAAATTAGCCTAATGAATCACATTGCACATGGATGAGATAGAAGAGAGGTTCCCATGCTTCCAAATATATGCCTGTATATTTTAATTACTTAAATGTAATTGAGCTCTGCCTGTCAAGAATGAAGCAAATATAATGCATGGAAGGGAGAAGCATTTACAGCACTCAACCATACAAGCAATACATATAAAAGGAGGAAATTGCTCCACACCCCAATTTTAAGTGAAGAAGTCTCAATTTGTTCATTTAAGCTACCACAATCAAATGACATAATGCAATCTTAATAGATCATCTCTTATTCCATGATCTAATTTTGACACTAATGAACACATCCATCCTGACTCATCATTTTGGAAAAATAATTGAAATGTATGTATCCCATTATTTGTGCGTGTGACTGTGCATATGAGGCAATACACAAATAAATGTAAGGTGAAAGAGAATTGGGAGAGAATTGAAGAAACCTTATTGACTATTGGTTTTTCTTGCTAATGTTTTCTCCAGAACTTTAGGGCACATTCTATATTCCTTTCAAATATTGTTCTACGATGCAACATCACCTTTTCGCCCCAACTTTGGTGTCTTTTCAAGAGACAGGATTCTAATCACAAAAGGATCCTTTGATTTCCTGTGTAAACTAGCAAGTTTAAGGCTGAGAGGAAAAGGCACTCAGGGTCACTATGATCTAATTCAATTTTCCCCCCAAATTGGCAAATTTTAAGACCATTAAGAGTTCAACTCCCAGAACTGAAAAATGATGATCTAATTCAGCCCAACCCAACCCATGCAGCTGTTCAACCAATGTTAGACCATAGAAACCTCACCACTTCTAAAAACCTGGTTTGAATTTACCAATCACTCATATTTATGAGATATTGGAACGAGAAAAGGCGCAACCCGTCCACTCCAGACACCGGTGTAAAATTAGGCCAATTTGGTTGTGTCTTTTCCCAGTTAACAAAAGTGTGTCCAGGCCCAACAAGGGAGATCCCCAAACCACCTTTCCTGCCCACCTTAAGCAGCTGTGCAAAGAAGGAAAAGGCTGTGGGGAGATTCCTTAAGGAAAACCCTTGAAGGGGATTCCCAGCTTTGGGGATCCTTGCTCCCCACAAGGATAACTAGAGTTAGCCAGTCTTTGCAGATCCCCCAATATTTGGGGTAGGAGGATCCTTCCTTCCTTCCTCTATTGATCTCCTTCCTTTTATACATGTCCTTCCTTCCCTTCCTTCCTTCATCTATTCATCTCCTTCTTTCTACCCATGTCCTTCCTTCCTTTTTCTATCACCTTCCTTTTATACGTGTCCTTCCTTCCTTCATTTATTCATCTCCTTCCTTCTATCCATGCATTTCCTTCCTTCCTTTCCTTCATCTATTTTTCTCCTTCCTTCCTTCCTTCGTTCCTTCCTTCCTCTATCTCCTTCCTTTTATACATGTCCTTCCTTCTTTCATCTATTTATCTCCTTCCTTCTAACCATGCCTTTCCTTCCTTCCTTCCTTCCTTCCATCTCTTTATCTCCTTCCTTTTATACATTCCTTCCTTCCTTCATGTATTCATCTCCTT